AGATATTGTCTTATAGTTCAGCTAAACTGTGTACAGCCATCATTAAACAGCCTGACGGGGCCCATATTACAGATTGATGATGATATGTGTGGTTTAACGTCCCAAAACCGCCATATGATTATGAGAGACGCCGTAGTGGAGGGCTCTGGAAATTTCGACCTCCTGGCATTCTTTAATGTGCACCCATATCTGAGCACACCAGCCTACAACATTTCCACCTCCATCGGAAATGCAGCCGCCACAGCCGGGATTCGATCCCGTGAACTGCGGGTCAGCTGCCGAGTACCTTAGCCACTAGACCACCGCGGCGGGGCTCATAATTACAAATTAAGAATTTTGAAATTACCACACCACACTACAGCAGCCTATCAAACCATTGATATAGCTAGGGATGAAAAATTCTAAATATTTACCAGTAAATGTTGCAGGGGCCTGCTGATGATTTCATTTTGAGCTTTATACTCGATTGAGGCAAAAATGCTGTAGGCTCGTGTGTATAAATTTGGTGGCACAATCGGAATTTCTGGAGCTCTCCACTACGGCGGTTCTCATAATCACATTGTCGTTTTTGGGACGTTAAACCACACATATTATTCAATCAATTTGCTTTATACTGAAATTCTCAATCTATAAATTGGCAATGGCTCATAAAAATGAGATAGCATCATGCAGCCAGACTCTCCGAATGTGTTGGGTATACATGCCCAGTCAGTACAAAAGCTTACCTTTGTTTGACATTGGGCTTTCTGGTGATACTTAGGTCTGTGATCAAACATAAACATTGCCAATTATATCATGATAAAAGGTGATTCAATGCTTTTTATTGATCTGCATCAGCTTGTCGAGGTATCTAGATGTAGAAAAAGCAATTACCGTTGCAAGAAGCACTGCATATGGCACACCCCTAACATCTGTGTTTATTTTTTATGTATCGCTCCAATTGAGCTTTGTAAGATATTTTTGATTAATATAATGAAAGATGTGCTAAAGAATACAAATAGGGTGAGTACACACTTAAAAATCGTTATTTCCAGAGTCATAAGTAGACTGGCTATTGTGGATACAGTAAGATTCCAGAAAATGGCTGTGTCTCATCTTTGTTCACAGGCCAGTGCCAAGATGTGTTAATGTAGAGACACAACTATCTCACCCCGAGTACATATGCTGATACTTGGCTATGTGAAATTCATGTCTTAATTTCCGCATGAAGTGCACGTGGCAAGCACTTATGGCTTATGGTAGAAAAGAAACACCTAATTGAAGGGAGTGATACCGGGACGCAATTTAGTGTGTGTTCTATAAACAAATGAACATTTCTGACACACAATCGGTCAAGGCTCGATTGCATGTCACAAATTAAGGACGTGTACACACGATTGAGACAGTTGCATGCAGCAAAAATATTTGTTCATTTATGAAACGTGTACAAAATTGTGCCTAAGTTCTGTCAGTCCAGAGTATTAAGGTATAAAGAAATTATTCACAATAAGTATGTAGAACCTTCTGTTTTTTTGTTTTATGTATATCTAAAATCAAGAGATGTAAATGAGGCATGATATCTCAAGGAGACGTTAAAGAAACTAAGGAGAAATTGGGATGTTGGCTGGTAGCCAATGTTTAAGATTTCTGTAGTGGCCATCACTTGCTTAAAATAGGTAACAGTCTCCTTTTGGATACACTAACATTATACTTTAAAAAGTGAAATCACTCATGGGACATAAACTGAAAAATAAGTGCAGAGATGTCATGTGGTGAACTTAATAGGCAATCTTTGTTGGAATATATTATAAACACTTTTCAAACAAATCACAAACAAAAATAGATAAATATACGCCAGGCAATTCCTCGCTTAATTTATTCTCTGCTTTTCACTGACAAAGCTAAAATATAAGGAACACCGATATAGTTACAAATTCTAGTCAGGAAACATTTTCATTTAAATTTTGATAATTTCTTGGCCCATACGAGTCCTATTGGGGCTTTAAATATATTTTGGTTGGGAAAACAGTCTCTTAACATCACAACTATTGTTTGCAATGCAGAGCAACGTCAGTATGCTGTGTTCACGAGATTTGGGTAGCATTGTTCCAGAAAGCCAGCATGTGAATGATGTTCTTAAAGCTTCGTCCTAGCCCCCTTCAGGTGCAAACTATGATCCTCTATCTGCAATTGTGTGAAGTTCACATGGGATAATTCCAAGGCACTGAATATTGCATAGCAAGATAAAAAAGGAAGCAATGTGCTGTTTTTAGTGAGTTTCAGCAATTTATGTTAATTAGCATCAAATAAGTGCCTAACTATTCTGCAGTCAGTGAGCTTGAATCTTTGCACAAAAAGACTGAAATATAGGGCCTGAATAGTACACACAGTTTGTTTTTTGGTTGTATACATTTTGGGCAAAGAAAAATAATTCTCTTGACATTGGTCCTGGAACACGGCTTGTCGAACGGTTGCCAAACACGATAGTGTCTCAAACTTTTGCTCTCCAATAACGGGCAGCACAGTAACATTGAATGAGCACTGGCTGTCCACTCAGGTCTACACAAATTTGCATGCTACTTTTCAAGCTTTTCAAAGAAACATAAGGTGCGTGACACGCCTCTGAAGTTTATGTGCACAATTGTACACATTGCCGCTGAACGGGATGAAAGAATTCTTTATATTCGCACTTTATAAGTTATGCTTTGGGGTAACCTTCAAGGAAAAGTCATATTTCATAAAACCTGTTGAGGTGTCGAAACCAGAAATTACATTACGTGTTTTTCCCCAAAACAAAGGACCCTAACTATATTGTATACAGTGGAAGACCAGCATCTGTTGTATTCACAAAAATGCACCATTGTTTGTGGTAAAACCTCTCAGGTGTGGCTTTTCAATTTTTTTTTCCTAATTCAGTTCTCTGTTGTCTCTGTTACCCTGATGTGTATTTCACAGAAAAATGCAAGGTTTGCGATGGCAGGGCAACACTTGCTCACATACTATGTGAATGCTCACGTTTAGATGACAGATTAGACAAAAATCCTGCGCGGAAGGTGCAGCACAGTCACAGTGAAAGCTAGAAAAGCGGCCATTAGGAGCCTTTTCTAAACACTCATTGGGTAACTACTGCAAGCACACTTGCTTGATACCCACTACGGCATTAATAATAAAACTTTTTGTGTAGTAGGCTGGCATTCACTATGCTATTTTTCATCATTCTTCTGAGAAGCGTGGTATCCTCTAAACACTTGCAAGAGATTTTGTGCCAATTGTTCATGCAGTGGCTGATGACGATCAGGAATTGTGTGTGAAGCGGGTATGCGCCACAGTTAATAAGTGAACAAGAACAAGCTTTTGTAATGGGTTGGAGCATTGGACTACCCACTCGTTATGCTATTCACATTGTGCTACGACTGGTTGTTCTTTCGCTGTTTTAAAACGCTTTATAAGTTGTATTAGCACGATTGCTTTCCCGACATCAAGCCTGCCTAAGGCAAGTTTGGCAACAAGTCCCAAGCACCAGCGTGGCTCAGTGGTAGAATCCCAGGGGATTTTGGGCATTGTGTCATGGGTACTAGTTTTTTTTCTATTTTTGTGCGTTGTGGTTACAGACACCGGTGGCGGACAACTACGGCAACGCTGACCCGATTTTTGATCTCATAACAGCTTTCACTGTAAAACCCGAAGAGGCAGTCTCAGACCGCAAGGCGCACTGGGAAGAGGCTCTACTCAGCTCCTTATTAGAACAGCAACTATGTGCTGTCCAGCGAGCCGAAGAAGCCGCCCGAGCTCAAGGGCTCGTGGCCGATGCCTAGGCTGGGGCTCAGGCTCGCCCCGAATCAACTTCACTGGACTTTATCAACAAAATTCTTCTCCTTCTTCTTTCCCTTATGCAGCATTCAGCTTTTTTTGGCCAAGTGTAAATGATAAACAGAAATTTTCAGCATGTTACACACACTAAAATTTGAAGGCAAAAGCCTGCTGCAGTCTTGGTAATGCATTAAGTTAAAGAATCAGAGATGAGACATCCTGCTAGACATGATGAGCTGCTGTGCGAAAGACATGCAATAAATCACATTGACATTCTCAGTCGATTGTAATGTTTCTCCCCTCTCCACTGTAGCTGTCTTTGATGTCGACTGGTGTTGCAATGCCTCCAAGATTGGCCCAGCTTTTACCGGTTGATTATGACAATTGATTACATTATGATGTGAATAATCATGTGATAACTTCCTGATGTGATGTCATTGCTCAGTCCTCGAAAATCATGCTGGTTTTTTGAACAAAGTCTTATGAGACCTTATAAAACTCTTGGGAGACCTCGTGAAAACGAAACCTTGTTAGCCCTTACGTTCCAGCCAATCCTTGTGCAAGTCTCATGGATTGGCGCACCAACATAACCACTTCAGGCTTAAAAAAAAAAAAAAGTTTGGTCAGCTCTCTTAGAGAATTTTTACATGTACGAGGGTGGTCAAAAGCTCCCAGGCTGTGCTATGGTAGGATTACATGCGATAGTGGCCTGAAAACTTTCGACCACCCCTGTAGCTGTATCGGCATGTATTTTATCGTGTTTCAGGTGTAATTACTTTGTCTCACTGTCTTTATGAATATGAAACTTTTACATTCTACATTTTCTTTCCTGATATGAATATGTGTGAGGAGGAAGTGGAGGAAGAAACCTTATTGTGAGAATCTGGCGGCCTTGGTGATGTGGACTGCCTTTGGACAGAAGCATTGAAAGACAGTTGCCTAAAAGGGGGCACAGCAAAAGAAAAAGAAAGAAACAAGAAAGACAGTGTTAATAAGTGCGAAAGTTTTCTAGATGGAAAATAAATGACAATAAATGCCTTAGAAATTTAAACCAAGGTGGATGCCAAATAGTTCAGTCACTAATTATAGTCATTGTTCAGTTGTATTTTCTCACTGTCATCAGTTAATAAAGTGTTTTTTCTAATTTTGAAATAGCATAGCCTTAATCACTGCTGCGTTTATCTCTATCCCTTTCCTCCTTTTCTATGCAGGACTCTGGTCCACCCGTCAACTCGGCGGCGCCAAAGCAGATCGAGAATGGTACATTCGAACGACCCTGCGAGAACTGTTGATTTATGTTGTCTTCCTCGTAGTGCTCTGTATATGTAAGTTACACTTATTGGCTCTTGATTATGGTGTTCAGAAGATGTTTATTTTAGGATGTGTTGATGCGGAGTGCCTACTAGAGCTGTTTTCATGACTTTTTCTGGCTGAACTATGGAAACTCCCAGCTGTATGTCAGCGAAACTAAAACTCACATGATGGTAAAGTGCAGGTGTTCACATCTATTTTAATTTTTCAGTTTAGGTACAATTTTTACTGTACACAGTAGACAAGTCGCTCGTCATATATGTACTCGTTTGTTGGACCATGCTGTTATGTAGATATGTCGAGAAATTTAAGTCGCAACCTTATGGATTGAATATATGTCATATAAGATTGACTCTAAAAGTGAGAAAGTTTCTGTTCAGGAGTTCATTCCTGAACAGAAACATGTGCCAATGGCGTATCACATGTGCCACATGTGCACATGTGCCAATGGCATATCAGTATAAAGGAACTACGAATTTTTGTTACAAAATGCTCAAAGACACAAGATTCGCTATTCATAAAAGCAGCTTTAAATGGAATATCTCTATCAAGGATGATATGTGCCCCGCCGCGGTGGTCTAGTGGCTAAGGTACTCGGCTGCTGACCCGCAGGTCGCGGGTTCGAATCCCGGCTGCGACGGCTGCATTTCCGATGGAGGCGGAAATGTTGTAGGCCCGTGTACTCAGATTTGGGTGCACGTTAAAGAACCCCAGGTGGTCAAAATTTCCGGAGCCCTCCACTACGGCGTCTCTCATAATCATATGGTGGTTTTGGGACGTTAAACCCCACAAATCTATCTAGGGATGATATGTATGTATGTATGTATGTGTATATATATATATATATATATATAGTAAGTCTGGTTCTATATATCATACATCTGAGCGGTCAACCCTTTTTGGCATATCAGGTAAGTTCTTAAGTGCTTTTAATAAACAGCTTGATCACCATAGTTCAAGTTTCAAGACTGCTTCATGCAATTTCTTTGTCATAGATGTTGACTAATTGTTTCATTCAATATTTGTGCAGGACGAGGTCTTGGAGTTGCAAAACTGTGTGTGGGACCTCTTATGAATGTCAACTACATTGTCAATATCGTTGCCACATCAGCTTTGTGTAATACCATTCACACCATGTTATATAGATGTCGATTACCCTTTTTTGCAGTGACCTTTGGCATGATGAGCCCTACTATGTACTACCAAACAAAAGTTATGAGCGACCTCTTCTTGGACTCTACATACAAAGACAACACCAGCAATCTCCGTGGCTCAACTAACCTTGATAATTTTTGGTCGGTATGTACGCTTCATGCATTGTCACACACACACAAAAAAAAAAAACAGTGCAACACATGGGACAGGAGGCACACTGTAGGCTTTGTCGGTTAACATGGGCCACATTTGTGCCAGTTGGTAGGCCTCCATAGGCCGTATTTTGATGACCCCTGACATAAACCAACCAACTAAAATTAAAACTTGTACTGCATGAAAAGTCTAGTTTCAAAATGTATAAAGTTGCTTTCATGCTAAGTTTTATTTTATAATAAAAGCAGATGCATCACATAAAGCTGGCAGAAATAGTTGTTTTGGTACCAAAAAAAAAAGAAAAAGGATGGTGCCATTATCTTTCACTAGAAATGACAGAGAACCAGAAATGTTGAAAATTAGTGCAACTGCTGGCCACGACCTCTAAGATTGGACAGCATTCGTGGTGGGATCGAAATTTTTGGGGCCTTGTTAAGGGATCCAAATTGTAACCACTAAATACCAAGTAGCCACGTTGGTTACGAAGGTGTTATGAGAGTAATGTTTTGTAACTACACAAATACCTGCCTTGCAGCTTTCCCAATGTTGTGTCCACAGTATCTACAAGATTGTTTTGTAACCAATTTAGCCATAGTGAGATGCTATTCCAGATAGTTCTTAATGACCTTGAGTAATCTAATATCTTATCTGCACTCTTTCTTCTGCGGAACATTAGCAGATTGGGGTACTATGCCATAACCTGAGTGATGTGCCTTTTTGCAGGCTCGTCCAATAAGCAAACTCTGACTGCCGTTATTGCTAGAATTAAGTGCTCCACAGTGCTATGCCATTGCTAATGTTCAATGTCAAAATAAATGCTGTCTGCATTAAAAGCAAGCATAATTAATTATCACATGCAAGTGTAACTCAGGTGACGAAAATTATTAGTGGATCAATTGCTACTGACTGTAGTAGAAAACTCTTCTAAACGTCTGTGCTGGTTTTCCTCTAAGGGGGAGCAAGAAAGGTATCTAATTGTGCACTGTGCATGTTTCAAAAATTGCTGGAAGGCTGTAGTGTTCTGCATGTATTTCATCTGAAAATTTAGGTTGCATAACTTATGTTTGCTTCAGGGTGCCATAATTGTTGTTTTCTCGCATACAGGTAACACTTAGGTGTTGTGAAAAGTAGGCAGTGCTGTAGGCCTGTTTAAATCGGTACTCTGTGCACGCTTGCACCCATTCGGACCTTTGGTGCTTGTTAGTATGACAAAGGAAATGGTGTGTTTGAACTCGACAAAAAGTCAGTTGGCACGCATGGTTTGGCTGAATCAATTTTCGTATTGTTTCTCTTCTTCACTAATGCAGTTCGTGGAGGATGTGATGCTTGGTGCTCTGTACTGGGAGAACTGGTACAATAATCAAAGCACATTAGCAGATGATCGAAACATCCTATATGAGAATCGGCTTCTAGGGAGCCCCCGCATTCGTCAATTGCGTGTGCGCAATGACTCATGCAATGTCCATTCAGACTTCAAGAAGGCTATCACCCAGTGCTTCGACAACTATTCTCCGCACTTCGAGGACAAGAGTCCTTTTGGGCTTATGAATGGCACTGCGTAAGTATTTCTGTTTTTGTCCTCTGCCTCCCTGTGGCTTTTCTTATACACTTTACATATTTCTTTAGGCGTAGTCACTCTTTGCAGGCTTTGACGAGCACCTTATTAGAAACATCTTTATGATTAAGATGATGATTAATAATAATAATAATGTTGTTGTTGTTGTTAACACTTTGTTAATGCAAAGAGGGATGCTGTTCACTGGAGGTGATAACCAGTTGGCTATTGAGGTTACAAAATAGTAGATACCAAAAGAAGAGAAACAGTTCAAGACAGCGGATAATTAGATAGCTTCATGGAATAAGAACATTTGCAGGCATCAGATGGTGACAGGTGGTACAAAGCAGGGGTAATGGTGATCACTTGTAGAGGCCTTAATTTTGCAGTGAAATGTAAATATAACCTCCCGACTCGGCCTGCGGAACCACTGGTACCAACTCCGTCGCATCTCTCAACCTCGACTCCTTTGCCAGTGAACAACACAAGGACTCGTGGGTCGCTTCCGTTTTGTTTTGACTGTCTCTCTGGATTGTCAACCACTGCGGTATCACGATCTCTCCGATGTCAAGCTGCTCATTTCGCCATTCGTGATCAGCTGCTACACCGACGCAACTACGCCCCTGAAGGTCGTAAGTGGCTCTTGGTTGTCCCCCGCAGCTTGCGATCCCAAATATGCGCCTCTTTTCACGACGATCCCCAATGTGACCATGCCGTAGTTTTCAAAACTTACGAAAGCATTCGCCATCGCTTCTACTGGTGCGGAATGTATAATTTTGTTCGAAAATTCGTTATGGGCTGCCCTGACTGTCAATGCCGCAAATCACCACCTTTCCTCTTGTCCGGTGCGCTTCAACCGCTTCCGTGCTCTGCCAAACCTTTCAATTGGATCCGAATTAATCTCTATGGTCCTCTACCGACAACATCAGATGAATATCGGTGGATCATAGTCGCTGTGGACCATTTAACATGCTACGCTAAGACCGCCGCCCTTGCAAGTGCCACTGCGCGGGACATAGCGTCCTTCGTCCTCCATTGCTTCATACTACGACATGGTGCACCTCGAGAACTACTAAATGACCGAGGTCGAGCATTCCTATCAGAAGTCGTCATGGCTCTGCTTTCTGAATGCCATGTTGTTCATCGCAAGACCACGGCATACCACCCGCAGACTAACGGGCTCACGGAGAGATTTAACCGCACCCTTGGCGATATGCTCGCGATGTATGTGACATCTAATCATACTAACTGGGATCGCACTCTTCTCTTCATCACGTTCGCATACAATACCGCGGCACAGTGTAGCACTGGATTTTCATCTTTCTTTCTTCTTTATGGATGCAAACCATCCCACACCATCGACACTCTCCTTCCATACCGTCCCGACGCATCCGAATGCCCATTTATGTCCAAAGCTGCCCGAAAAGCGGAAGAGTGCCGTGAACTCGCACACACCTTTACGTCACCAGAACAGCAGCGCCAAAAAGAAAACAACGCCGACTCTTCACGAAGCCACAGCTATTCCCCGGGATCGCTTTTATGGCTGGCTGTTCCTTACCAAACCCCCGGCCTTTCCTCAAAACTCATCCTGAAGTACAAGGGCCCTTACCACGTTTTGGAGCAAACCTCGCCGATGAGTTTTCTCATTGAGCCACTTTCCCCATCTGACGACATGCGCCGGCGTGGACGTGACATCGTCCACGTCGCCCGCCTCAAGCCATATCATAGCCCTCTGCCTCCAGACTCTTAGGTCGCCAGGATGGCTCTTTTTCGGTGGGGGAAAATTGTGAAGAAGAAAACGCATCGTTGGCAAGCAACATCGCCACCGCTTGGGTACTGGGTTCTGGGCTTCTCTTGCTTGCCTCCTGCTGATCATCGCTGGCATCTGCTTGACCGTTGCTCGGTCCCGATCATGTTTTCATCGAAGGGCCACTGTTGCAGCACACGCCAATAGCCAATAAACTTTATTTGAATACTAATAAAGATGATTATTTTACTTTAGAATGCTGCCTGTAGACACCTTGTTACTTAATAAAACGTTTTGTTTGGCTAGTTGGTACATGCTTACTGAAATACAAAAAAAAATTCGTGTCATCAAGGAAGAAAAATTAAGAACACAACAGGAAGGGCATCACTCGAAACTAACTTCATTCTCAGAACATCAGCAACATATAGAACAGTAGCAACTATGCACGGGCACATCGTCTCACATGCTCTTTAGAAAACTCACGATAAGATTCACAAAAAAGTTATGCCATAAAGAACTCCACTAAACAAAAAAAAGACTAGAAAAAAATCAAATTGACCACCATGCAGAGCAATCTATGTATCACTAGCACTCATATCTCTTTTCTTTTTAATGTAGTATGCTTCCATGATTTCTTGCTCGAAGGTATTTTTACTCTTTCCAAGAACAGATACTCATTTACCTGTGCATTGTGGTTCCTGCAAATGTGAGCCTGCTTGCTATGGTTATATATGTCACTAATGTTCTGAGAATAAGGTTAGTTGCCTGTGACGGCCTTTCTGTTCTATTCTTAAGGGGGGAGGATGGGGCAATGAGAACTATCTTTGTTATTTATAAAGATAAGTGATAAAATTTGGGATGAAGATGTCATTTGTTGTGTTGATATCACAACTGAAATTGGTTTGGAGCTATCTAATGTAGTTTTTGAGTTACAACACATGATAGACTTCCATTAATATCACAAAATAAATAAATAATTAGCAATAAGTTCATCAATACTTTTTGCATAAGGATATTTACTAGGACCCATTTTGTGCCATAGTGCTATTGGCTTGTTTTTCAGTATTTAAGTAAACACACCAAAAAGTTTTAGAAATATCCTGGGCATATCGTCTCACAAACAACTTTTACAAGAAGCCGATTATAAAAACCTGTACAATGTGCACACAAATATGGACAGCTTTACAGCACTCACCAATGTCTTAGAATCTAAGTGCATAAAACAAAGTGGCTATATCTTCATTTGTTGCGAAATGACACAGGGATGACTGACAGCAACTGCTCAAAAAATGAAACCTGAGAAAATGGAGCTCAAAGAAATTAGAGCTAGGAGCTAAGAAAATGTAACTCGAACGAAAGCTGGCTTTATTATTCACAGGAGCAATGCAGCATTATGGTTATCTTGAGCTTCGATCTGTGCTCTTCACGATGATGCCAATATGGTGGCACCACACCAAGGGAAAGCTGTAGATTCGCATCTTTTAAAGCCCAATTTTCACATAGCTTTTGATGACAGCCCACCAGTAAGATATTTTTTTCTCAACATCTACTACTTATTGTGGCCTAATATTTCACCATAATGTGAAATATATTCTCAGGACCTCGGAAAATAGTAAGTTGAAAAATTGGTCATTTTGACCAAATTTCTCATTCCCACTACTTTTTCTTCCTTGGGGGTGCTCATCTTTATTGTATTTCGGTACACCTTGTTGCCTGCACATTGCAGCAAGCAGCAAAAGAACAGTCTATAGAGCATGCATTATTATTACTTACAAACGCAGGCAAACAAAAGTCAGATGTTGAGGACTTGATTGTTTTCCTCCCTTTTCCTAGCTGGACGTACCACACTGAAAAGGATCTGAATGGGGCAGACCACTGGGGCCTGTTGTCATCGTACAGCGGTGCTGGCTACTATGCTGACCTTGGTATAACCAAAGAGGCAGCAACACAGGTCATGGCTGACCTGAAGGAGAATCTCTGGATCGGGCGTGCCACACGGGCGGTCTTTTTGGATTTCACTGTCTACAACGCAAATGTCAACCTCTTCTGTGTGATCAAGTACGCATCTTAGTTCCTCGTTTCAAAGACGGATAAATTGAGCTCGTATTTATCACATCTTATGTTAATTTTATGTGATGCATGACTCTCTTACTTGGTGTGTCATATTCACATTTTGGGGAAAAAAGCACTTCTGTCATTATGGAGCGCTTTCTGTGCCTGCACACTATGCGTGGCTGGTATTAACAGCTGAATGCTTTCAGCACTCCCTTTAGCACATTGCAAAGGTTCACATATCACATTCTTTAAAGTGTTTGAAATAAAATGGCAGTATTATGTGGGAAATGTGTATAAGTCTGGTTATAGACCACAAAACTTCAGCTCCTTGTTTTATGTGCTGTGGGACACACGAAATTGTTGCAAAGAAGTTAGTAAATTTGTAAATAATAAAACTGTAAGCATAGTGCAAACTGTAAGAAAATTGCAAGCACATTGTGAACATGCCATATGTTTACATTGGAAACTTTAGGACAAATAGCATGTGCGAAGTATGCATTCTTTTTTTAAATCTTCTTGAACACTTCTGTTTCAAGTTATTATAGTTGAATGCAAGGTATTCATACCTAGCTGACAGACTTGATGTAATCGCCGAGTTAACTATGTGAGGTGGATGAACTTGTTTAGCACACCAGTCTAGAAGCTGGCAGAGCAAGTACTACTGGTATTTACTTCACCCGCTTCAAATTATGGTTGTGTTTGTGTGTATATGCTTGCACAATGACTGAAATGAGGCTTTAATTTTTATAAGAATTGGCCTTCATGTGAACAAAGCTTTTCTGTCCGCGTGCAGGCTGGTGTTTGAATTTCCCGCAACGGGAGGCATGATTCCGTCTTGGAGCTTTCGCACGGTTAAGCTCCTGCGATATGTGTCGGTTAGCGACTACTTCATCATGGCTTGTGAGTTCTTCTTCACGCTGTTCATTCTCTACTACATCGTCGAAGAAGTCCTTGAGGTGAGTGTCTTGGTGCCAAGGCTAGTTCTTGATTAGTGCTTGAGTAGTTGAGTCAAACCTTATTATATTGAACTCTGGTAAATCAAATTATCTTTTATATCAAACTGCTTTCGAATATGACATTGCTTTAACATGAATGTGTGACCTTACAGGTACATCGAACAAAATTAGCTTCATACATCAAACTCTGGGACGCACGAAATGCCCAAAGAAGTTGGCTTTTTCTCAGAAGTAGTCAGCTTTTCCTCAATCAAGAGCGTTTTCCTGCATGCTGGTGGTAGTGGTAACGGTGTGATTATGAGAACGGTGCGTGGAACAGTTAGAAACTACTGCTTGCTTTAGTGTGCCTTCTCCCACTGTTCTTTTCATAATGATGAAATGCGAGTTGACGTCACCACCTTTTTTCTTGCACTCCATAGAGCTGACCCTTCTTTGTCATCATCTTCAATAATGGTGTTCTTTGTCGCTACTGCACGTCAATAGAATGCTGTGAATTCAGCTGTGCTCAGCCAGTGGGTGATGTTGATGAGTGCACGCTTAACTAGCATCACAAAAACAGTAAATACAATTGGAGACTAGGCATGTTTTACACTGATAAATGCCCATGGCACATGTATGTAGAAAGTAAAAAACAGCCTTCCATGAGATGCATGGTTTTAAATAGATGCCACATTTTCTCGTGCATAAGCTGTCCCTGCATATAATCTGCCCCCCCCTCCCCAATTTGTATATATAGCCTATTTTATAGAGGGGTTTCAGTGTCTCCATGTTGGGCTGTTTTGTGTTTTGCAGCTTTAACTGCAGCTTGTGTTTGCAGCTTTAACTACTAAACGAACAGTGTTACGGTAGACGCATACACATCAAAACAGTTGGGCTGGTGCATGCAATGTTTTGTGTCCCTAATAATTCATATTGCAATATACAAAAAGAAGAAAACGTTGACTTAACAGCCGAAGGTGGCATCACCCATATGTATTAAGTAAAATAGTCTCTAAACTGAGGAAAAATGAAAATTAAAATAAAAAGTCCCCGCATAGTTCTGTGAAGCCACCTTCCTTATATTATTGTGAAGCAGTGCGATGAAGCCAAAGTGCATTCCGAAATTCGCTCCGAAAATATGTTAAATTTATTAGCAGATTTATATTAAATTATGCAACATTTCAAACTATCCTTTGTATATTGTGAGATATATGCAGGTTTGCAATTAAAACAGCTTTTCAAACAGTTTAAAGATCTGTTTGTGCTAGTGCCGAATATAATGCCAAATATGTTCAGCCATATCCTTACGACAGGAAACGATAAAGCAAATACAAATATTTATACATTTCCAACCACTCTAATTAACCTAGTACAAACAGTCTGCCAAGGTATAAGGAAGTGCAGAGTGCTTTGTATCTTGTGTGAATGTAAACACTCGTTCCTCGTGAAGCATGCAGGAAAGGCAGAAACGAGAAGTTGCACATGCCGGCAAGCGTATGTGTTGTATCCCATCTAGCTGGTAAAATATATAAGATAGAGAAGTGCACTTGCAAAGAGGAAAAATAGTCTCTTTATTACTGCAAGAGTGCTGCAACATACTGCAGTCATATCGTTCAGTATATAATACTTGGAAAATTGCTGTGAAGGCGAGAAACAGTCCATGAGCACTGACAAATAACTGAGCATGGTTTCTTGGGCCAGGAAAATGTAAGGTGAAAATGCAAAGAAAGTTAGTTGATTCAGGCTGGCCCTTATAATCATTCCCTTCTGTTCCTCAACCTACCTGCTATAAGTTTCCATTACTTCGAGTTCTTGTGGTTTACGGTGTATTTGTGATATCATGTGAGCAAGAAATTAGCTGGTACTGTTTAAAACACACAAACCAGTATAGAGCACAGTGCAGTTTATTACAAGCATGCAATGTGCTTCTTTGATATCTCGCGATATTAAGCGGGGGCACGGGTCTTAGAAGGCCAAAAATCACACACAAAAAAACGACTTTTTGAAGCTGACATTTTCAAAATCTGTACCTATTTTTCTACCTATCTGAGAAGTTTCGACCTTCTCGCGTCATTATTTCTGGCGCAACATCAATTTATAACATCCCTGTGAGATGAATGTGAGCGCAAATTGACGCTAAAATCGCGCTTTTTCCGCGCCAAACTGTTGCCGTTACACACGAGCTATCGTGTTTATCTTGGTCTCGTTTGGAAGGGTCGTTCTTCATCTTCAATTTCCCGCCACTGCTGGCTCGCCTTGCTCATTGGTTCTTTAACAAAAACGTGTCATCGAGAAGCACTTGCGCGCGATTGAATTGGCTGCTTGGGGCACGTGACAAAACCTAAGCATCCGATTGGCCAAGGGGCGCTTCCGGCATCTGCTTGACCATCGTGACGCGCACGGACATGCGCCATTTTGTCATGGTGCTACTGACTGCCTGCGGCAGTAAAAGAGATCCGTGCTACAATAATTTGTGAAGCGGGTGTGGCGGTCGTTCGTTCTCTGTGAACTTCAGAAAGAGCCCCGCTACCACTCAGGACAGGGAGGACAGCAAACTCGCGGCGTTCAACGGCGCTCGCCGAGTCACCGGTGTAGGCCTAACTCACGTACGAGCCCGTCGGTTGTCGACAACGTCGCTAAAAGCGGCAGTGTTTTGGTGCTTCAACAAATACAGGATGGCAAGTAAAAAAGCAGAAGTGAAGCTACAAGAGATATCAATCTTTGTAGTGACGGAACTGAAGCGCAGTCTTACCGCTAAACGTGCCCATGCCGCGGTTCCCCCCGCCTGACGAAAGGACCTTGAACTGCGCGACGGGTCGTTAGAGTGGAGCACGCCGCACGTCGACGAACAACAGAAAGGCAATCCGTTCGCGGTGAACATGCCCGCCACCCCCGCAATGGAGGCTATTGGCAACAGGTGGACTGCTTTTAACAACGTGTTCGCAACGTTGTCGCGATCTCCGCTCGGAAATGCGACAGTCTTACGTGAAAAGGAAACTAACACCTCGGCACTCGTGTAGCCTCGAAATTTTTGAGCGAGGGAGCAACTTTGGTTCGCAAAGTTTACGGGTAACTCATTCTGGACAAGCCGAAAAACATCGCCGTGTTATTCGATTGCGGATGACGCACGCACATTTGTCGCACATCGCCATCAGTACATTCACCGAACTGATAAGCGGCCTCGCCGCAGACGAGTACACGGCGACAACTTGCTACAGGACTAGAAGAAACGACACGCTCATGCAATCAATCAGTCCTATTACATTCCCGGTCCATAATAACCAACTAAAAGCATGTGTGGCATGATATTTTTTCCTCGGAACGGCGAAATAAAGTTTTAACATCATTATTCTCGAAGCACAGATTTTGATCACTTTCTTTTGCTTGTTCGGTAAAAGCGGACCAAGGACAGCTAGAGCTGTAATTGTTTTTGCACAATGTAGCTAACTGTGCACAAAAGAATAATGCTGGGAGCCTATTTTTAATGGGCAGCTTCATTTTTTTTTATTTTATTATAAAAATTTCTGTATTTGGTTACATGCAATATAGTTTACTGAGCTGTAATTTGAAAAGTACTCGTTCAATTTTCGATCAGCTTGCAGCGTTGCACTCCTTAGGCTTTCTAGCATTCATATATATGTAAATGGCTATGTAATTCTAAGTACATACATTTTTACAGTTAAAAACGTTAGAATTCTTTGTTTTCTTCATTTTCTCAAAATGGCAATTTTGTACCCCCTTTATGAAAATTACTGCAATATATCAAAATCTATTACAGATGACAGAATATTTTTTTGCAGCCTGAAGTTATATGTTTGGAGCACACAACATAGGAAGCAGATTTCTATTTCTCTTGATGCAAGTTTTTCAAACTAGTCTTTTGTGTGACCACACAATGGCCACATTCAGAGCTGTGAAGTTTAGTGCACTGTAAAGTAAGAAATAATGACCCAATCAAAAAAGTGCTTCCTATGTTGTATGTCTTATGCTTTCTACTGTCAATCCCTATGTCATTTATAAATTTTTTACTGGTGGTTATTCTTCTATTGTGGCAAGAACAATAGAAATTATTATCTTGATCATTTAATTAACTAATGAAGCTACAGAAAGAATAACTGCATTTTTAGAATTAGGAGAACAAACTAAATAAGCATGCCAACTTTTGTCTCATTTGGCTCAAAAATAAAGGAGGGAGCCCTAAGACCCATGTCCCCCCTTAAGGATGTGCTTTTCTTTTTATGATCTTTTCTCCAGATCAAGAGCAACAGGACTAGCTATTTCAAGTCTATATGGAACATCCTTGACATCCTCGTCATTCTGGTGAGCTTAAAGCAGCTCTTCTGTTTTGTTTTTAATTTTTGCTTGTTGTCATATGTTCTAGGCCATGCATAACTCTTAACCACTTAACCATTTAGACCGAAATTTCCACACTTGGGTCTTCTTTGCCATATAATCTGTACAAGCGTCTCACAACCCTGTGGGCATGAGGCCACCATTATTGGCAGTGCAGTAATATTTATTTCGTCATAAAGACCCCACTGTAGGCCACAGGCACGTAGTGGTAAACTAGAGTTAGGAATAAGGTTTTTTGATCCTTGATAAAGCACAGCTTGTGCCGCTGCCTGTGGCATGTGCTGACGTGATGTGCCCTAATAAGTGCATTATGAGAGAAGCTACTCTGGCAACTGTGCTGGTCATTAGTACATACTTTATTTTTCAGAAACAACGTATGGTTGTAGACAAACTACTACATGTTTCTAATTACTCTTTTTATGTACAGTAATATTATGTTCTACAGTTGAAAACATTTGTTTACTTCTCTAAGGTCTGGTAGCTGCCCTTGAATAAAATTAAATGGGAGCAATTAGCATTTGCTAGAAGATTATATGCAAGTTTGCTATATTAAATTTTTGTTTGCCTAAACTAGTTTCAATCAATATTTACAAAAGCTGATTGGACCTATTGATTGTTGCGTATCTTGGTATGCAGGTCAACTTGTTCATGTTTAGTTGCGCTTATCACATAGTAGTTGTGTTTTAACGCCATAGCGTAAAGAGCTCACAAACAAATGTATCATGGATATATGCTTCACAATGCAACATGAACTATTGTAGTAATAATGCGTGGGCAAGCATTCATTGCCAAAGGGCGTCAGAATATATGATTATCATAATGGCTCCATGGTCGAAAGCCCGTACCCCACTACAAAAGGCACACAGGCTACTGCACCTATTCTCTTAAGGCCACGTAGTGGGTGCCTAGCAAATTGGAAAAGGTTTAATGCATGAAGTGTTTCAAGTTGGCACTATCAACAAGACGCCGCTATCGCGGTCAACTCCTAAAGGCCAAGCTTTAGGGTCGCTAGTTATTATTTGCCAATGCAGAAAAGGGGAAGGAAAGGCTGCTAAGACATGGCTGGCTGTATCGAAATTTTACCATCGCTAAATGTTGGCATGGGCAATATTGGTAAAAATGTTGGCCTTGTTCAATTCTAAAAAAAAGCAGTAGCTAAGACGCAGAGTAATAGAAAATTGTTCTGAAGGATATGAACTGCCGACTGGAAATGTGTACATGCATATATTTTACTTAATTTCGATTAATTTCAGAAGGTCAGTTTATAGAGTGTGAAATAAGGTTTGCAGAAGATCGCGCATAATTCATTTGTTAAATCAAAGGCAGTTTTGAAACGCTAACCTATGCTTTGTGCTCATACCATGCACCTTTATTTTTTTTTTCTGGCAACACTGTCTACACTCATATAGTATATGCATGACGTATAATATCAATGTCTACATATATTAGTATGCTTTTGAAGTGAACACTTTGGCATCATGTGTGAAAACATTTTGTCACAAGTGTTTATTTAACACTTCATGATGCCACAAGACATCTACACACCATTCAAGTAATTTGAAAATATCTCGTATGAGCTTAATTTTTTGTCAGTACGTACAACCAGGATTAGGTGCAACATGAACTCTGAATACACATGTCTAATGCCTTCTCATTATTAATTATAAATGACATGGGAATTCAAGCAGTAAATAATTCTTGAGATAGAACATACAGCGAATCTAGAAGATTCTAAGCACCCCAACCTTCCTCTTGGAAAGAAAAGAAGCACCTGCAATCATAGGCGGGGAGTTTTCATAATCCCAGAGGGTGCGGAGCGCCCAACCTGCTCTTCAACATCCACTTTTTTCTCTCTCTCGAAAGAAATACTTATAGAAAGTATTACAAAGACAAATGTCTGTTACATAAAGAAATTTTCATTTTCTTGATGGATACGCGTACATCCCATACTTATTTTGCACCAGAGCCATGTAAATGGCACAATTTTTATCATCCCGTGACTTCATTCTCAATGTGACCTCAGCGCCAGATTCCCTACTTGTCACTGCCTCCATTCTGAATTTTAGAAGCCTGAAAGGAAGAGGAACGGGCGTAAACAGTCTCTTGTGCAAAGATCTTAAAAATATCTTGGGCCAGTCAGTGCCAGGGGGGGAGGAGAGGGGGGCTCGGCCTTTCCCTAATGCAGCCCTGAGAGGGCCCGGGGGCCCCTCTTCCGCCCCCTCTATACTGTTCGTCTATGCCTACAATGGTTCTGTGGTATGTATAACATTGACTATATCTGCTTCTTGATTTTGTGCAACAAGACTGTTTCAGATGTTTAGCATAAGCTTGTCATATTCATATAAGGCTTCTAGTGATTGGAGTCTGAAAAATATATATAGTATAACTAATTTACTCATGGCATGCCACATTTGCGCTCTCCTCAGATCTCTCTGGTGTGCATTGGATTCAGCATCTATCGTACTGTTATGGTGAATAAGCTCCTGGCTGGTCTTCTTGACAAGCCAGACGAGTTTGCCGACTTTGGTCGTCTGGGTTTCTACCAGACGCAGTTCAACAATGCTGTAGCACTGGCGGTTTTCTTCGCTTGGATTAAGGTCTTCAAGTACATCAGCTTTAACAAGACCATGACACAGCTTTCATCCACACTTTCTCGGGTAATATATATTATGCCATTTCATAGATTTCTGCTCTTGGCTTCTCGTTTGTCTTTTATTCACATCCTTTTTTTCTTGATGTTTAATCGGCTGCAGTGAAATCTCAAGGATTAAATTTCGAGATAGTGTTTGCAGAGTTCTGACTAAATGAAATTAGAGCTCACTAAAGTGATAGCAGAAGGTTATATATGATGTTAATAAAAGGTGTGAGAGCATCCTTACAATAATCAGCTTTGTTTATGAAAGATATGCATGGTTGCTTTTTTTTCTCAAAAAATGATTGCTTTTTTTTTAGAACTTGACTTATCTGGTTTTATACTTGCTAATGTTGTAAATGTCTCTATCTAGGACCTTGTGGTTTCCAACTGGAGCCAGTTTATCCCAAATAATGCCATACGAAACCAATTGAATTGCCAGTTGCACATTTTCACCTAGATAATACACTATACTATGCTTTGGAATTGCCAGTTGCACATTTTCACCTAGATAATACACTATACTATGCTTTTAAAATACTCAGTAAGTGCTTATAACAGTACTAGCTTTCTGAAATAATTTCTTCTGCCTTTGACATTCAACTATTTTTCACTTTTCTTGTCCTGTTCTTTTTGTTATATGGCACCAAGTTTTTAAAATATATTTGTGTGCTGTGAGCGACACTTTCCTGAATTCTTACTGGCACAGCCTAATAAAAAGTAATTAGTTGTCAAACTACTTATTAAATTCGAAAAACATTGCAATAAGAAGCCACCCTTCTTTATCTGATGTCAAAAAAGCATGTCTGATCAGCTTCAAAACAAAAAAAAGGTGGACCATTTGATCTCTTCATGTAATGACATGACTTATAAAACTAGCTCTCGTGTTGAATGCCTGTTTGCATTGTTTGATACCCTGATATGAATGGGATCACTGCAGTCTCTCAACTTTCTCATTAATCTTTGCATTTTGATATTGAATGAAATTGTGCATTTGTGTTCTTTCTTTGTAGTGCTCCAAGGATGTGGCTGGCTTCAGCATCATGTTCTTCATTGTGTTTTTTGCTTTTGCCCAACTGGGCTACCTTCTCTTTGGTACTCAAATCCAAGGCTTCAGCTCTTTTGTTAATGCCGTGTAAGTACAATTCAGGGCTCTCTTTGTATCAATGTGTTTTCAATCTTCGGCATTTTCTGTCGCACATATTCACTAAGTAAACCGCTAAGCTACACTGAAGAACTAAACAGTAGCAATTTGTTTCACCTCATATTTCATTATTTATTATTACGTGCTGGAAATTTATTGTCACATGAACATGGCAACAGGTTGTATGTGACGAGTTTATGTGTTACGCTGCCTGTGAACTTCTCGGGTTTTTAGAATGCTACAATGTTGTACTTTATGAAAGGAATGAAAGTTGTACAAAAGTTGTAGTTCATGAAAGAGGTTGTTTTTTTATGTCTACATTTGGTGCAGTTCTTGTATCAGAAGATTTGATAAAGTGTATGGAAGGTCCTGTCTGTAGCTTTAATTCAAGCTTAATTCAAGTTTTGCAGTAGATAACACAGGGGCAGAATATGTTTCTATCTGGCGAGAAGTTTGTTAGGTATGCGGGTACAGATTCTTCGATTCGCCAAATATTTCTGACTTTTGTGTTCTGATCTGATCTTTATGTTCTTGTATTAACCAAACAGGTTCACACTCCTGCGTCTTATCTTGGGTGACTTCGATTTCGAGGAAATGGAAGCTGCTAACCGAGTGTTGGGCCCCATTTATTTCCTCAGCTATGTCTTCTTTGTATTCTTCGTGCTCTTGGTGTGTAGCCTCACCTTCCTTTTGTTTTCAGCGTATTTTTTGCTGCATTTCACTGCAAGCTATTATTGTCCTCCTGGCCTTATTTGGTTTCAGTGTAGCATGTAGTGTTATAGCCTATTCAATGTATAATATTGTATTTCTACAACTTGCTTACTTTGCTATAAGCACTACTGTAGATATTTTGGGTGCTTTGTGCATTTGCATGTACACTTTCTTTAGGTCACTTCTAAGCAAAAGCAAAGTGCCATAGTTCTACCTGGGCATCATCTATTAATTTCATCTGACTGTGAATTTCAAATATACAGAGAGCTGATCTGCTTAAGAGATAGCACTGGGTAACATACATAAGCTGATATCCTCTCATGTATGGATGTTTTCCTTTTAAAGGTGTACCTAAAAATTAGTCTGATGGAAGTCTTATAGTTATGCTTATATAATAAAAAAAATTGTTACTGAAAATGTGTCATGTGCCATGTAGATGCAATATATTGTAAGAAATTATTTTCTGAGTTACTGCTACTCTGATATTTGTCTTCTGAACATTGTGAATTGATTTATCACTTATTATATAGCGACATTTCTTTTTGCACATGTGCTTGTGTATGCATTGTGCTATTTGTTGAAAACAGGCGTAAGAGTTGGTGTGTTAAATCTCTCCCTTTATCTGGTACATACTACAGCCTTGTATGTTTATTGTGCTGTGGACTTTTTCAGAGCAAGTGAAATTCTATATAATAGAGCATATGAAATGGTACTTGTAGTGATTATTTTTCTCATAAGCATGTGTTATTTCAGTTGTTATTCCGTGTAAACTCAAGTATTGTTTTCTTGGGATTCTGGCATCTTTACCTCATTGTTTTAACTTTTGCAGAACATGTTCTTGGCTATCATTAACGACACCTATGCTGAAGTAAAATCAGAGATCTCGCAACAGAAGAACGAGTTTGAGCTTGTTGACTACTTTAAAAAGGTAAGTTGTTCTCTGTTTCTCTTCTTTTCTTGTTTAGTCCAAACTCGAAAGGCCCAACAACAATTTTGGACATGTAAATTTACCTGTTTTCTTACTAGACATTATTGCCGTGAACATCTTATCTAAATGTTGTACTTTCAGCAGTGGGAAGTCTCTTCGTTCAAAAAGACTGCCTGCTTTTTTGTTCAACTTCTTGAAATTCCTGCTATTTTGCTTACATATTATGCCTTGCATCTCTTACATATGCGTCCCTTACATATTATGCCTACTTTGAGCATCAGAACTGAGCAGTTCTTTCAACAAATCACACGTGAAGACTCTCATCACTGATGGGAAGAATAGTACCATTTTCGGGGGCATAAAATGTTATATCATAGTGTTCTTGATCACGAGAAGTAAAATAAGGGGACCCGAGGGCTTGATTTTCGGGCTCGTCACAACCGTACGAAGTGACTGAGAATTAAGCCAAAGTAAAGGCAAGTTTATTGGGTTGAAGTAAGTGCCAATGACCGAGCAAGTGCCTCCCTTCATCCCCTGTGGCCACTTTTTTTTTTAATAAAAAGAACTGCAAGAATGGGTAAACTGAATGCACTGAATGCATATCTGATGTAGCTGATGAAATGCTTTATAAGTAGAGCATTTCATTAGGAACGTGGATGGGCATTTTTTATTTTTAGCAGGTCTTTAGCCATCATCTTATATTTCGGTCCAGGACTGAGCATCTGCCCTCCCTCCAAATCTGGTCAGATCATTCTACACTGCGGGTGGGGGGGGGGGGCAGAAGGGGGGGGGGGCTGGCGCATGCACGGCATTTTACGGTAGCAGGGCACTGCTGGTTCTAGTGTAGTTTTAATGACAAAAAAAGAAGAAAGAACGCGGTTAGGCCACGGCAGTGGCAGCATATGATTGCTGATAACTTTGTTCGTATAAGGAGCACTGAAAGCATGAAAAAGAAAAAAAAAAGGATGTTCAAATAAATTTTTCTTAATAAGAAATGTTGCAAATAGAGGAATTTCACAGTGGCAGGCTGTGTGTTTTAAAAACAGTGAAAAATGCACCCCACACCTACTTTTTATCAGCCAAGGGAATCTGTTACAAGTTGCTGAAGTTGGGGACAAAATGGATGCTCACACTAGGGGGGGGGGAGATGGTAGGAGGGGCAACGATTGCCTTATGACAATCACTCCTCTCTCGTAATTTGGCCACCTTACCTGCATTTGCTTATAATGTCTTGGAGTAGCACGTAACTTCTTTCTTTTTTAACTTGAAGAGGCCACCAGAATATCAAGGCTAGAGACAGAATGATTTGTCTCATGAAATAGTCCACTTGGTGGCCAGCTGAAAGACATTTATATGAAAAACATTAACAAATGAGCTGCTCATTCACTGTTAAAGAAGCTAAGTGCGCTATACCTAGCCATGCATATGTTGAGGTTAACGAATATGCCTGTTCCTCCTTGCACTCATGCTTGTCACTGAGGCTCTTTGCAGAGTGTTGTAAGGATAAACTCACCTCTCTTTTTATTAAGCGTAGGCATGTGTGATTATCCTACCATTTCAAGTATTCAAACAAACAATAAAGTGTTTGAATTCTCTTCGACATAAATTTAACTTTTTTTAAATTTCGAAGTATTCTAAATCGGCAAATAAACATGTGTAAACTACATGCAACACTCCCGTAAAGGTGGTTTCACTGCAATAGAGAAGTGCTCTACTGTGAGTACATCTGTTCTTGAAAAATTTGCACTGCCGCAAAGCCCCACTTCAAGGTTAAGTGAACACATTACCCTCTCATTGGTTCATAATTTTTTAAAATTCAAAAGCTTGTTATACCTGCTTATATACACTGAGTTTGGTAAGTCTTAATATGTAACCTATTTTACAGGTTATCACTTGCATTCTACCAAAAGTCAAATCCTGCTACTAATTGAAGTTGCTTACACTTCCCTTTGAACAAAAAAGAGTGACATTTGCATATGCCTTGTGTCAGTTAAAAAAAAAAACAATATGCAGGTAAATAACTCATGACAAACATGCTCATTTTACTTCATAATACGTGACATACAATATTCAAATTCAATTCTAGGTTATTTGATCACATCACTATTCACTTCACATTTACTTTGAATTCACTTTAAACTTTATGTTTACTATTTGCACATGCCTAATTAGGAAATGACATGCCAAGTTAATCTAATTTATGTGGTACACTGCATTTGCTAGTGAACACTTGTAAGTCTTTTGGCAAAAACAGACGTGCACTGAATTAATACATGGTTTAAAATTGTGTAGATTAATTTAGACTTGATTTGTCTTTTCTTTCTGTTTTGTGGACAAATAAATTATTTGTTTGAATCATGTTACATTGTCCAATTCATATACATTGTGTCTTGTTTCCAGGGTTACAACAGCATTCTTGGCAAGTTGGGCAAGCGGGATCAAATTGTGGACATTCAGAATGCACTCAAAATGGCAGACACCAACCACGACAACAAACTGACCTTTGATGAAGTCCGCAAGACACTCAAAGCGTAAGCTATTACCTAATTGGCAAGTAGATAGACTGGCAGTCTATTGTGCCTTTCAGTGGCACAAATCCCCTGAAATCCCAAGAGGGGTCCTATCTCGCACTGGTGGCCATCTTGTTTTCATATATGTGTTGTCTTTAATTATAGAAAAGTTACATCATGTTTTGGAATAAATTAAGGAAACAAATACCACTGTTGGGGTCGGGTCAGGGAAAACAGCACTGAGTAGTAAATAGTGTAAACTATCTTTGCATGATGGAATTCATTTATAAGCGTTGCTCCTAGGTAGACTTGAGCATATTTCTAGCTAATGTGTCATTTGGGTTATACCATGCAACAAAAATGCTAGCCCTGTTCTGGGATAATCTGTAAAGGGGCACATTTTTTTAACTTCAGCTTTATTCTCCATCGTGTTCAACATTGAAATAGCATCCAACAATTTACATTTGAAAATTTTCTTGCAAAGCTTTGTTGTGCTCCTTGGCAGTTTGTCTAATATGACACAATCATAATCCAGCAATCACATTTATGCTTCATTAGGAATGGCTTCCAACAAATCCTCGACGTAAATAATGCTACATGATTGGCGATTTTTTGTACAGTAAAACCTCATTACTTTGAACTCGGTTGTTTCGAAATCCCACTTTTTTCGAAATATTTCCTCAGTCCCATATTTTGCAATGCAAGTCTGAGCGGATAATTTGAAGCAGCGGTTTTTATTAGAAAACTTTGAGTGTCATTAAAAAAATCCCGATTTCGCTGCAAATGCGTGGAAACGGCAGCCTTTAAAAGTAATGAAGCAATGCAATGTAGTGATACTAATGAGTGGTAGTTGAAGCATCCCAGTCCTGTGACTTCCACCTCAAAGAAAAAAAATAAAAGACGGTCTCGTGGTCAACCAATACGTGCACCTGCGGAAAACAAGATGTGCTTCACTGTAATACAGCGGTGACATGTGGGCGGCATATTACATGTTTCTCGCTACGTCAGTGCGTCATGATGTAACCATTCTTTCTGGAATTATAAGGAAATTTAATGAAAGACAGTCAGGTGGAATTTGCGATGTATGCGAACCCGCGATTGCTGGTGGCTTCAGTAATTTGCACACTTGCACCGCTGCCAGAGTTCTTGCCTGCAACGCCTACTTCGAAAACTAAGTCCGAAAGCTTCAATGATAATGTTTTCCAGCCAAAACATATAGCGAATTCCGTCATTCTAGCCATCAATAAATTCTTTATTTTACCAGAAAGAATGGGCGAATGGTCAGATAATAACTTGCTGACGCAGCGAGGGGCAGGCGACATGCTGCCCGCGTGTCACAACTGTGCTGTAGTGAAGCATGTCTTGTTTTTAGTAGCCACACGTTTCAGTTAATCACGAGATCATTATCTTTTTCTTTTATTTCTTTTCTAATGGAAGCAGCGAGGCCCGCTGTTCCTTTGTGTTTACGGCAAAAATTAAGACCAGGTATTGCGGGTAAACATAACCCTTGGCGGAGCCACAATCTAGCCGGCACAGCGGAGATCAGCCCTTATTACTTCAAATAATTGCAAGTTTCTTGCCTCCAATTTTTTGTATCTTCGGCTAATTGAAAAACCCACTTCGAAGATTTCTTGCGGGCCCAGTGACATAATATTAGCGAGTTTTTACTGTATAACCATTTGTGGCATGTCAGATCCCGTATCATTTATGAAAGCTCGTGCTACACGGTGCTTCTCAAAATGATAAACAGCTGTCACTTTTGTACTTTGTACTGTCCTAAACTGTCAAGAAATTCACGTAATCTACTTGAAAAATGAATTATGAGAGGGAACAATTGTATAAAGTGGACCCCCCCCCCCCAGCGAGAACACCCTTGACCTCCTCATGATTTACACCACTGGTGCCGTCATGAAGACAAAAAGATTAACATGAAGGAGCTTAAATACAAGCCACGGTATTTTCCAAATCTCAAGTGTCTTTTATCTCAGAACAAAAGAAAAAAAGCTTTTATGGAAACGTGCTTTGATGACCTTGCTTTCCTAGTGCTTGAGCCAATATCATATGGGGATGCGCTATAATAAATATGGCAACGCAAACAGGCCTTTTTGTAATGGGCAGTTTGTTATGGAATATTGGTAGATGGAGATAATGGCAGCTTGGAAACAGGCACTAATAACTCTGCTGAGTGGCTGCATCAGTCAGTTATCTGCAAACGTCTGGGGCTGATGGAAGTGGCCTATTTTGAAGCTTATCTATAAAAAATCATTATTAATTAGACATCATAACATTTATTTATTTACTTATTAAATCAAAGCATGCTCTCTCCGTCACTGTGTTCATTGTCAATTCAGTGAAAGATGGGGCACTTATAGAAAGTGCTTGACCTGTGAGAAGGCTGAATATCTGGTATTGATCCTTAAAAAAAAAAAAAAAAACAGTAAAAGATTAAAAGGTATATGTTGATGTAATCACAGGTGCATGTCTCTTAGCCTGTTCTTAGCCATGAAACTGAATATATATTCATCGCTGGGTTCGTATGCAGGCAAAACTTCAGTGATATGGAGATCGAGATGCTGTTCTCTAAATATGATGTGGACGGCAACCGTGAGCTGAATGAGCAAGAAACCAAGGAGATGATGGCACACCTTGAGGGACAGAAGGTTCTGCTTGATGAAGAGATCCAGCGTGAAAAGACCTCTGGCAATGACAATGCTAGTGGGGGAGGTGGTGGTGGCAGCGGCGGCGGTGGGGATGGAGGCATCTCTTCTGAAGAGCTAACCATGTAAGTAATGAGTATTCTCCATTCTGCCTGTTCTCCATAGTAGTAGCATAGCTTCAGTAGTAGCAGTAGCAGTAGTAGTAGTAGTAGTAGTAGTATGGTCAAACATCGTTATAATGTATACTTATGTAACAAATCATCAGCTATAATGAAGTAAACAAAGAATAGCCTTGCCATTGATACAGTGGTATGAATATGTTTATATCAAGTTTTTATATATAACAAAGCCTCTTTCATATCATAGCCAACTTCTTTATAGTTTGGTGATTTCAATAGAAGCAGAAAGCCTTCTGCCCCAAGAAACTTCCGGTCATTTCATTTATCCTTCTGTAACACGGAAGCGGAAACTCTACTTTTAAGTTGTCTCAGAGTAAGGAAAGTGTGACATTTTTGGATGAAAAAAGATGCATAAAATGCAAGAGCACCTGTTGTGGTAAAGTATCTCTTAAAATGAAATACAGTTGAGCCCCTTTATAAGAGACATACATCGGGAAACACTTTTAGTCTTTTATATAAGGCGTCTCTTATAAATAGGGTACAATGTTTGCATTTTCTTATAAACCGCGATTTCAAAGTAGGTACACTAGTGTCGGTTATACCCAGCAGTCTCTTACATTAGTGCTACTTATACCCAATTGTCTCTTATAAAGAGGTTCAGTTGTTATTTCATTGAGATATTTGGCTAAATACAAAAAAGAAAGTTTTGACAGTTCGCATGCTACTCGCCAAGGCTTTTCTTTAGTGGCAATGCTCCAATGTTTTGTTGGTGGACAAAACCGGATACCATCCAGGGCATGTGTTTGTAAACACTGAAAACGTCCCTGATGAGTTTTCACTGTAGTGACATCAGTAACTGATGAACACAGATACTATAGTCTCTGCTGCTTTTTGGGGAGCCCAGCTCAGTGCTCAAGGGGAAAAAAAATAGACATAGGCATATGAAAGTGGGAAGGCTATCACTAAAGAAGGCCCATGGCTGCAACTTGTTTGCAAACAAGGTATTAAGAACTTATAAATCAGCTTAAATTGTCAAGGAACTTAATAAGATACTTGAAGCCAGTGCTTTATTGCCTACCAGGGATGAGAAAGTGTGACTTCAAGTTCACAGAAAGTCCCGGGTTTTGAAACAATGTGGAAGGAGGCGCCCTTTCAGTTGAGCAGACCATTTCTGCCACACTCCATGCCCAATAAGATGGGGATGTTGCCAAACTCTTGGTGTGGTTAGTCATTTATAGTTTTCCAACAGAAAAAGTGGAAGGCAGCAGGCAACAAAACTTTCATGATTTTATAGTGGAAACATCAACTCTCTCATGGCCATGGAGAATGTGCACAGTAAAGGAAGTGAAATCACAGATAGAAAGATGTGAAGAAATGTAGTAGGTTAAATTTTTTTTTGTTTTAACTCAAACATTTGCTTTTGCATAGTTGGCCTATCAGTTAAGAAAAAAATGAATTCTGAAAAGGTACTGTGAAGAGGGTAGGTAATGCATGCAGCCACCCTCCTGGTCTTGTGCATTGACATCGCTATCCACGTTTCATTTCCTCTGCCTCATTTGTGTTTGCGTGCTTTTGCTATCTGTTCATGATGCAGTCTGTGATTTTTTATGTATTATTATTTTGTTTTCTGGAACTGTGCTAAGTGTGCTCAGTTTGACTTTAGGGAAATCAGTTTTTAGTGTTTTACAACACACTCGGTGTATATCAAGTTTTTGAAAGAAAAGACAATGTGAGACATATAATTTAAAAATTAATTCACACATCTGTGTGCCAGTCTTTTCTTTCTCCTTTTTATTCATAACTCCGTTTTACAAAACGAAGGCCCAAATTCTTTTGTGAGAGTGCTAACTACAATATAATAACTGAAACAGAGTGCATATCATGTTTTGTAAAAAGTTGTAGCATTAAAGGGGTCCTCCAACACTATTTAACACCCAATTTTTTATTCGTTGGTTATATAAACTGATGTATAGACACACTAATGCAGCAAGAATGGCAGTGAGAACGGCATGCAGTCCTAAGTTTTTCAATTTAGAAAATTCAAAATTCAAGAAAAAAAGCTTGTTCTCAACTTTATTTTTGTGTGATCAGCTGACCACGTTTCACTCACCCGATGATGTCGGATGACTCCCCCAATGAAATGAGCTGGGAGGGCGCACCTAGAGAAAGCTTGCACACTATTGCTGCTTGTTCTTGCCAACGTAATGTTGACCTCGTTAACCTTATTGCCCCAGTGACAAACTTGGTGCCTGACGCTTGACTTGCCAGGACATGAGTGGGGGCTACTGCTTCGAAGTGAGGCATTTTATGCTGTTCTTTACAACAGTCTGAGTTGCTCCCTTTTCTTATTTTGAGAAATGAACTTGTGGAACGGCTAGGGCGGTGAAATACTACTGTTGGCCCTTCGCACGTTGTTCGATGAGCTACTCGACAAACAACAATGGTGCACTGCACCCCTTCGACAGCACACGTGTGGAAAGAGACAGCTCGCTAACTCCCAAAAGCAAGAAAGGGGAAGAAAGAGAGAGAGGTCTTTCGTATGGATGTCCGATCCATGCAAGTGAAAAATTCAGTGGCGAAATGGTAGCCAGCATCTCTGTGCTGCTTTGTAGTCGCAGTGTTCTTTGTGGTGCGGCTGCGTCTGTTTGTGGTGTGATGAGAAAGCACAGAAAAGAAAAATCAAACTGATTAGTAACCTCAGTTTTTATCTTACGCCACGATCACTTCTAACGTTACATTTATCCACTCATATGGCGGCAATCATCCAGCGTCATTACCGACCGCAAAGTTCTGGCGAGCGCCACTATGTGCTGATGCGGTTGGGAGCGATGTAGTTACTTTATTACGTGATTAAAATATTAAGTCATTTGATATCGACTCTTATACTTATGCTAAAATTATCCCCAGCTATTGGTCTATGCAAATGACAAATAAAAATTAGATGGCACAAAAGTGTTGGAAGGCCCCTTTGATATAGGTGTAGGTTTCTGATTGATCACCGCTAAAATTAAATAGCTTTCACAATTTCCTCTGGCCATAACATTGTATTGCCTTGCTCTACATTTATTTTTTCAGCCTAAATTATGGATATAAAAATCCACTGATCTTGATGCATTCTTTGTACTGGATAGCTTTCAGGTTCTTAAAAAAAAGTCTAGTTTTAATCAAAGAAAGAGTATCATCCTGTGCAGTTTTTTTCTCGTTTTTTACCCGTGCTGTGGAGTCCTTGCTCTCACAGTTATTCTTGGAAGAGTTTACATCAAACTTAAGAAGGCCTCTCTTGTGCCACTAAATATACTGTGGTCAATTAAAGCGCTAAAAATTGAGGGTTTACTTAGGCACTTTCTAGGGTGCTAACTAGTGTACTAGCCCTCAAGCTTTGCTTAGTATGCTCATGCAAAAGTTCAACTTGGATGGGTCTTCTCTTCTGCATGGGACAATCATTTCAATATCATCTGCTAGATAGCTTTATAGACATAGATGAGTTCCTTAAGCTGCTATGTGCGTGGTGCCAAACTTGCAAACTTAGACAGAAAAAGACAGGATTTGACTGGTTATTAGTGTGTGTGCTCCTCAAAGCTAACACACTAATAACATCAATAAAGGGTGACAAGTGCAGCTGTGACTCAAGAGGCAATAATTGAGCTTTGTGGTACTGTTATGTAGTGGTTACAAACAAGTACTAAGAAGCAAGAACAAGAAAAAAAGTTCAATAGAACTGCCAGGACAAAGAAAACGGGGGCCTAAAAATTAAAGGAGAATAGGTGTAAAGGAGGGACAGCTTTGGCTCTGCACACATACACACAGAAAGTTTGAAAGCAATGTACAGGTTCTTTGTGCATTGTTTCAAATGTATTGTGCAACCCTTATTACATATGAAACACTACAGAGTCTTACTGCATGTAGGTAACATCATGCTAGCTGTTGCCATAAGCTGTTTTTGTGAAATTTCCGTGTATTTGTTTGCGCAAAGACTCACAATGGCAGAGATGCTGTTTTTGAAGTCCTTCAAGCAGCAGATAATGGGGTGAAAGACCGGTAGCCTAGTGGATTTGTACGAGTGTTTCACATACAATCTCAATTACTTTGATGCCTGATGTACACCACTTATTGTACGCAGTCTGACCCGGCGTGTGGATCGCATGGAGCATTCCATTGGTAGCATTGTGTCCAAGATTGATGCTGTACTGGTCAAAATGGAAACGATGGAGAAAGCCAAAGCCAACCGGCGGGACAACATGAGCAAAATTCTTGACACCATTTCAGAGGTCAGATATTAGTTCCTTGACTTTCTTTATTAAGATAAATTCTTATACAGTTAAACCCCTTTATAACAGGCATGCTCCAGGCAGCAATTCTTGTCTTTGAGATGTCTCTTATAAGAAGGGTATCTCTTATGCATTTTCTTACCAACCTATATTTTACTGTAGGCACACTGGTGTCTCCTATGCCCATTTATCTCTTCTATCAGTGTCTCTTATAAAAGGGTTTGACATAGGAGAATATTGTAGTTTTTCATTTATTAGCAGCTGATAAAACTTAACCACTTTGCATTGCATCTGCTGGCGAGCGATTGGTATCAGCGTGAGAAGTCTCGACAGCCTCCTACTCCCACTTGATCAAGGGAATCATTATGCTAATCATTTTATTTATTACCCACACTGCAGCTGTGTAAGGACTTTAAAAGCGATAGTATTGTCATCAGCTTTCGTATGATATCATTGGCCACTAGTGTAAGTATGCCTTTATCAGCGCATGCACAGCAGTTTATCTTTTTTGTCATCAGGGGCAGTACATGCTGCAGTACATGCAGCATGTTCTGCAAGCCACATGCTTAATTGTGCGCAGTTTGTTCGAAAATCTGATGCAAGAAAACAGCACAACAATAAAAATCGGTGTAGCATGCTTGGTGCGTGGAATGTGGGATCCCGCAGTCAATTTAGGGTCAGTGGCAAGGCTGTGTGGGAGTGGCAGTAACAAGGTGCTGGGTTGCAGCCAGGCTCAAATTATTTTGCCAGTTGTCACCCCTTAGGGTTGATTTTTCATAGCTTCAAAGCGGCCAAAAAAAAGTTCCTTTTTTTACAATGATTGTAAAGTGTCAAAAAACTCACAGGGTCTATTATTCATTTGCCTAGAACGACTCGAAGGTGAAGGCCATGTGGTGTTGCTTTTTTACTGTGCACTTTAGATCATGTGAACACGGCAGTGATGAAGTGCACTTCATTGAACACATAGCCCGTGCAGTCGTATAATATTGCCACATAGATTGGAGTGAATGCACAGCTGGTGCAGATCTCTGCACTTTTTAGAGATTGTTTTAGACTCGTGATTGCCACTTTTTTGTTATTTCTTTAGTCATAGAAATGCCACTAAGACTAAGTGTGCACGCAACTTGTGTGACTCGAGCTATGCTTGAAAGGTCACCTGAATTATTGGCGATGACTCTTCGCCCTTCTTATGAGCTGTCTAAGGCTGTCACGTAAAAATATTTGCAAGCGATAAAAATAAAAATGAGAAGGCAATCTATATTAAACATAAAATGTATATTGAGTGGAATAAGTGTGTTTTACATGCCTAGAAAAATGTGTGCACCAGATTGGTGCCACATTTCGACCAGTCAGTGCATTGTCACACCTGACACATTTACAAAGTTGCTCCTCAATCAAATTCACATTTCGAACTAGCTAGTTTTTTCAGTGACTGGCATTCAATGAATCTCACTTGTATTTGACATTTGGCCAGTAGTTCAAATAAAAAAAGAATATCTACTTGACTCATCCTCAGCAGCGAAACCAGTGGGCTCTGTTTTAGTGCAATCACTGTGTATGTGAGTGTTTGCAAAGAAATTCTATGGCTGTGTGCCTGTCAGAGAAACTAAACGAGAAACATCCAGTAATCTTTCATCTTATCATTGCCAAGTAGCAAGCATTTTTCCCAATTTATAAAAAAAAACTAGGGGTGTGCGAATATTCAGAAGTTTTGAATATTTGGTGATTATTGCATTTGTAATATTCGTATTCAATTTGATAACCAAATATTAAAAAATTCCGAATATTCGAATTAGCTCGAGTATTTCTCGAATACTTGATCTTCATGAATATTCGTTCGCATATGTCACTGTGAAGAACTTACGATCTTGCGCATTTGCCATAACAGCCTCAGTAAATTATGCAGTGATTGCTATGACTTCGGCGCAAGTGCAGTGATGCCTGCATGGAAATACATGGAAGCGTGATGACGGCTACCAAGGAATGTAGCGGCAAGTCATCTCAACAAGCCTACCAATGATAAACATCTCAATCAATCAAAATCATGTACTGCCTGCACGGCAGTGCGTGTTGCTTGGTGGTCTAGCGCTGTTACGGTTAAAGTGAGCATACCGAACTCGCCGTCCGCGGTTGTGCCCTTGTGTGTGGGACTGCATGTGCGTATCGCTCGTGGAAATGAAGGCAACTCGTGGCAGCCGCATTGGCTTGACAAAATGGTGTTCACATCTTTGCTCGGTCCCGTGCTGAGCGAGCACGAAGAAAAAAATCTCTACACAAGGGAAAATGTATGCGTATACGTTACAGGGCGTGGCGCTGCTGGAATGAGCTTAGTAGGCGATGGACTACATGCAACTAGTTAGGGGCGCGCTTAGATTGTCGTATGATGGTAAGGGGTTTTATGTATAGCCAAGCGAGTTTTCCCTAGTGGATCATCGTAGAAACCTACGTGCACTTGTCGAAGCCTGACGAGTCATCCGTCAGCTGTGCCGCTACTTCAGCATGTATAATCTCTTCATAGTTCCGAAATGATTTTAGGATAGTGGATATCGTCATGCGAATGAGCTTAATTGTTTTTCCGCGCAATGGCAAACATAGAAAAGGCCATGCACTTTCGGTAACGCTACAATGGCATCCTCACATATAGTTTTTCGTTACTAACAGTGGCGCACGTAACGTTTTGGACAGATTACTCCATAGTTCCACTGCGTTCCCGACAGCACCGAAAACGGTGTAACTTCCCGTTACATCGTTGCTACCATCTTGCTCTTTTGCCAACTTCAGTTCACTACTGCCGTCTCCAGCCAGTGCGCCAAAAGGGGTCGCGATGTGGCAAAACAGTGCCTTCTTCGCTGGGAGTTGTGGCTCCATCAACAAAAAGGCGTATTTGGGGCGTCTATCACACATCAGTAATCATCCATCTCGCGCGCTTACCTTGCGTCATCGCTGCGTGCCCAGTACAACTCAGTCACGATCGTGCATCTATATGACCGCAACACAGCATTCTTGATCAGAAAATGGTGAACAGAGTTCTCGAGGAAGGCAACTGAAGCAAACGAGATAACGAGTGTGTTGCTGTGTAGTTGAAAAACGTTCTAAGTACTCTTATTTTCTTTGGTGGCTTGACCGGTGAGAATAGGGGAGAAAATTTGAAAGAAAACTATAAAATCGGGGTCTTTCGAGCCAAAACTGATAGTGTGGGAACCTGGATGAATTGTGACTACCTAGGCTGCTTTAATAATCACTTAGATTTAAGTATACTATACTGCTGTTAACTGTTAACACAATCAAACCAGTGGCCTCATGCTTATTGATCATCATTGCAGGTACGAAAGCTTTTCTTTTTGTTTTGTTATAAAGTCCTTCCACATAAAAAAACGATTCAAAAGGTTCATTCAACATGTAGATTGAACCCAAGACATCACAGTCACAAGCTCAAGTATTGCAGTCTTATGCTTTCTGGGAAATACAGATGGTGACATTTTTAATTTTTGTGCGCAATAACAGACTATAATAACAATTGTACTGTTTACAACCTAAATATATACTTGAGTAAAAGATTACTGGTGAAAAACATTGCACCTCTTCATCATTCAATATTCGGTTCATATTCGAAGCAATGTATTCAATTCGTATTAGAAAATTTTGATATATTAACACACCCCTAAAAAAACAAAATGTGCTAGCGGAGTAGCACAATCTATATACAAGCGCTTGCTGCGGACAGCTTCACTTGCTTTCTTCTGGGCAAGAAACAAACAAGTGTCAGGAGATCACCCTTCTAGAAAGTAGAAAGCAGATATAGTACATCAGATTTTGTAAACAAATCTAATGAAAATGCCTTGTGAAACAAAACCAATCTAGTATGGCCGAAAGATTTGTTCTTTTGGCAGTCCATAGAATTTTCAAAACTCTATGCCAACACCAGTGCTCAAAACAACATAGATTTTTCTTTTTAATATTTCTGCAGGTTCCAATATGCATTCGTATGATTATGACAATAAAAACCACAGTGGTTTTTTATTCTATTTTCCGATTCTGACAACCAGATTTCTCATACTATTTTTAGCTGAATTTCTTTTTTCTTGTTTTTTAGACCTGCCATGTTTGTCTAATCTGGGTATTAAAGGGGCCCTTCAACACTTTTTGACCATGGTCAGAAAACACTGCCGATCGATGGTAGAGGCTCCCGACATTGCGCGAGCAAAATATTGTAGTGCAGCATGCGGCCTGGAATTCACAATAAATTATCAAAGTCAGCTAATAATAGCTTTCTTTTCTCTCGAGAAATCACGCACTTAAGCCCAGTAAGCCCATCTATCAGCCATTGGCTGATTTGAACATGGTGCGCTCGGTTGTTACAGAGGTCGCCACGAGAGGCCGTCACTTGTCCAAACGCACGATCGCACTGAAAAGGCTGCGTATTCAAAAAAAAAAAGGAAAAAAAAATGCTTAATTTTTGTTTGCCCCTCCCATCCCTCCCTGCTCAGCTTCCAGCACTTTCGTCGGGACGAAAAAAGAGAGAATGTGATTGCAGCGTGTGACAAATCTTTGTAACTCCGCTTATACTGAACAGATTCTTAAAATTTTTACGGCGTTTAATTTCTGAGGTAAAAACGCTTCTGCAGTGAACTACCGTAATTCTATAGTTACTCAAAAAAGTGTTTCAGGGCCCCTTTATAAAAAGTAATGTTCTACAAGTGCTACAAGCTTCGTTGCTTATCTGAATCCTGTTGTCATAACTTTTGGGTATCATGATAAGACCTTTTGATTAAATGTTCCATTTCCTACCAGACATTATTGCATGAATGCATTATAAGATCATTTAAAAAGAAGGCTAATAATTGAACATGTGTTGCTGCACATGGTATCAATAGTTTGTGCTTTTACCTCCACACTCTTGTACTGGTGACATGGATTACATACGCCCTTGCCTATTGCACTTAGCATGCCATTGCCCACCATGTGTGTGAAGCAGTGGTGGGAGTGCTTTCCAAAAATTTTGGAGCAGCCATTGGAACTGGCAAAATCTCCTTTTGGAGCAGCTACCTCAGTGTTTGGAGCATGCGCGGGCCCACATAGAAAGAAAATTTAGCTCTAATTTAGTTTAATATTCTTTCAGTTTACATAATCATTCATACAGAAGCAGCAAGGCCACAAGAGAGGGAGGCACGAAGCCAGTCTCATACATCGACATAATAGAGAGGGGGGCACAAATTTCATTCCATACATTGACATAATTTGCAGGAGGGCGCTGCGACAAACCTTCGCCCAACCCTGAAGGGGAACCTCGTGCACGCCTATGTCTCCGCCCCCCACACGTGCATTCAAAGCTTGTTAAAGTAAAACCTCGTGAATACGTACATACACATTGAGAACGCGGCTAACTGGGCACTAAGCGTATGCAATAATCACTAAATACCAATTCTCTACGAGCGCCATCACCACTAAAGAAGGAAGAAATACTGTGCCAGAGCAAATATTACCTAAAGTGCTCACCACAAAGTCATTTATGTTGGCCAATTTTCAGAAATAATTGGCATTCTCACACGGCCGCCCAATGGCATGCGGTGCCAACATCAAGGAGCATTTCAAAATTACTGCAGAGTCCAGGATTAGCAGCCGATTCAGCGACTGGCATTGCGACAAAACAAGACATGAGTGGCTGTACAAGATAAATCTGTACCGTGATCTGATACTTAGCGAAAAAGTTTTTTGAGATGCTTTACAGTCGCAGGTAGTCGATCATCTACTGGTTGACTGCATGCAGCGCTTTGCCAACTCGGAGTACCCACCGCACTAAGCAGCTTGCGCGCACTCCGCTTCAGACCGTGCGCTGATACGGTGAGAAGCCTGTTGCGTCAACAAACGATGCGAGCTTTCTGCAAGTGATGCTCTTGTGGTCCTGGCAGTGGACGAAGGCGTGTTTGGGCTGTTGCCTCATGAAAGTGTGGGCTATGCTTGCTGTCTCGGCGCCCAAGATCCACAATGCTCAACTCCACAGTGCTGAACTCGACAACAACGAGTTGCTTTCGTTTCTGCAAAGCGGTGCACACTTAACACAGTCCCGCAAAACGATTGAGGCAGCAGTGATCGGTGCCTCAGTGCTCACAGGTAGTTGCCAGCTATTATAAGCGTGCACGAGGCTTAATGCAGTGCTACGCCACACACGGAGGCTTTTAGTCGGCAATAAGTTATACTGACGCGCCTTTCGGTAGTCGCCACATCGCCTTCGTTTTCTGCCAATGGTTGCCAGAAAAGACACCGCTGCGATTGCGTAGAAGCCGGAATAGTTGATCGGCCGGTTTCATGCTTTTGTAGCAGTGTAACTCTACACAAATGCAGCAGCGCACGTGTACAAGATGGCGACCATCACGTAATATCCGCTCACGATGCGCGCTGTCAACGTGACTTTCGGTTCCAAAACCAGCTGTGGCATAGTATGGCACAGTAATTTCTAGTTGGTGCAGGTTGGCACAATTGGTGCAGGTTTTCCACCACTGGCCTTTCTTACGTAATGCCCCTAAGGATGTCAAATAAATGATGATGATGAACTTGTTATTCAGAATCATGTCCCTATATATAGTCATGCTTATACATGTCCTTAGAATTAGAATGACATTTACCTATAACATGTCATTCTGATTATTCAAACCTCTGCAGTTCATATTTACACCAGACTGGGTTGTAGAAGTCACACCAGATATACAAGTAAATATAAGGGAGTAATCATTTGGAGTCATACTTCATAACAAGTAGCTGGGACTTTATTGTTTGCCATTGCAGAATGAGAGTTTGGATGAGAAAAGCAAGCGCCAGCAAATGGAGAAACTGGTTCGAGAGGAGCTTCAGCACTGGGATTCTGATGCCTCACTGCACACTCCACGGAGAGTAAGTGTTTCCTTCTTAGTACAAAGCAATTAGAGTATGACAATATCATTATGTTATTATTAACCATGCAATTAAACCGTTAATTTTAGTGGTTAACGTAGTATATACTACATTGTTTTAAATGTTACAGTAGAAATTCAATAATATTCCTAATATGTTGTCCAGGCTTTAATAATATTCAAAATAAAGAAAAGGCATACTAAACTATTTATGCAAGAAAAAGCTGGATAAACCATGTGGCTGATTACTGTTTAGATTGACCTGCCTGGGTATTCTAGTGGTTAAAGTTCTTGACTGCTGACCCGCAGGCCACGGGATGGAATCTCGGCTTTGGCGATCGCATTTTCGGTAGAATTGAAAATGCTCGAGGCCCGCATACTTGGATTTAGGTGCACATTTTTTGGATGCACATGTGTGATTATAGTAAAAAACAGTAAAGAACCCCAGGTGGGGAAAATTTCCGGAGCCTTCATCTATGGTGTGTCTCATAATTATATCGGGGTTTCGGGATGTTAAACCACATCAATTATTGTTATTAGTAACTGTTCAGATATCCAAGTTATCATATTCTGCAAAGAAGAGAGGTTATTTTATGTGCATATTGCCACTAAATGTTATATCAGCGTGAGTTGAAACATTAACAATAAATAAAGTCTAATCTGTAGACCACATTAATGCAATTACATGCAGCAGATGTTTGATCACTCCTGAGCCTAAACTAAGTTAAGGTTACAGACTCATAGTGTACCGGGAAACACAGTTCTAGTACACACTAATATTCCTTAGCTCTTTGTATTTGAATTTCTGCTGATAGTAAATACTGGAAAGACACTAAGATGTCAATGTCAAGATATATGGCAAATGATAAACACTAAAAAGAAACTTGAAAGTGCTTAGTGTGTAAAAAACATACAGTAAGTATGACACAGGCAGCACAAGGAAAGAAATGCTACTCAGCATGTTTGCTGTAGCCCTTCCAAAAAGTTGACACAATGCTACAACTGCATTTGAGCACAGACAGATGTGTTCTAGGTAGCAGGTCTTCACAGGCCTCCTGAGTTGTTGGCTTGAGTGTCTAGCTCATGATAACCACAAACTCTTCAAATAGAGTCTGGCAGTAGATTCCTAGGCATTATTTGCACTAATCTCTCCAGATTTTACTGTGCTCGCTGATTGAAACGCGACACCAAGACTTTCATTATTATAATTGACATGAGCTTGAGATCGCCGTGTCATGTCACTAGGAAACCGGCCATTTAAAGTAATGCCTGCTCTCGTGCAAATGATTGGGGCAAAATTATGCAGTATGACATGAGCTGAAAACAAACGGTGGATACAAAATGACCTGTACTACTTAACCTTAACTTGTTGCATTTCAGTCCGTTAGGAATGATGCTAAAACATGTCTACAATAAATACTCCAGTTTTTTTATGCAGTCACTGAATTATTATAGATGCACATTGTGGGCTGCTACTGATATTACTGCTATCTCGAGGTATATGACGCCTTGTCCATACATGTTGCAGGTCATTCATCTATGTGCTCCCCATCATTTGCACTAACAAAGGAATTATGCATCTCCACAGTTAAGCGAGTCACATCCTTTGATGAATTAGGGCACCTGCGCTGGAGAAATTTTTTCTTTCTCCTCCTGTCTCTTCCCTCTCCCTAATTCTTATACTATATTTGGACAACAAAAATAAATGCACCTCTGGGTAGTCAGTGCTGGTCCTGTCTGGTCTGTCTTGTCATTAATTTTTTATTGCACTGTTTTTTACTATAATCACACATGAATGGGCTCAATTTTATAGTCATTGAGAAATTGCATGTATAATTACTTTATAGAGAAAGCACCCAATTTATATATCTATAGTTTGTCCATGGCTCACTTCCAAAAATGTGTACTAGGGATAATGGAGCTAGTTGTAGTATGAAATAAATATTGATAGATATGATTATAGCAGTTATGTCAGAATAACTAAAAGAAAACTGATTTAAAGGGACCAACAAGTTCCCAGAACATGAAATGAGATGACTGCACGGATGGAAAGATTGTCCCTCATAGTGACTCAAACCAACCCTATCTTTCTCGTGAGAAGTGAACTTATATTTTTATTTCTTCATTGAAGGTCGCGAAAATAGTCTGTGATGCCATCTGGTGGCAAAACTTTAATTGTCCGAGCTCCCCTGTCACATCATCGTAAACTAGGGTATGCGGTCAATAATTTTCCTGTTAGTGTTCAAATATTGTTTCCTTTTTTACAGTAAAAGATATTACTCAATAAAAATGTACATCTAGATTTGTGTTAGTAGTGCACAATAAAGTGGCGCTGCCTTTGCATCATGTAACGATCCCGTGCTCGTCAGTGCACCTTGAGCAATAACTTTTCTATGTGCTCATGAAACAGTGTACGCAGTTTCCAGGTCACCAAAGTTTTGGAGTGATATGGTTTTTTTACCTACACTTTGTCTCAGAAATAACCCCCAGTGACATTTTAAGTGACTTGAGTTGGCTCGTGTGTCGAGAGAGTAACGACGACGGGACAAGCCATCCCTGATACAGGTGCATCAACCTTGGGTGCAGGTGCACGCAACACGGTATAAATACAGGGAAGCTCTATAAAGCCACATTGTCTCATTGTAATGGCGTTTTATTTTCAAAGTGTAGCTGTAAAGTTCAGAATAAACGTGGTTCAGAATAGTTGCAAGAACTGCTGCGAAAGCAGAACAATGACAGCATGCACGAGTCTCTTGAAGGGCTACAGGCATTGCTATGAATTCTCAGCGTTGCTGGACAAAAAAGCACATCTGTGTTTAGAGCCTTTCAAATAAAAAAATACTGCTTATAAATGGACAATGTGCTTTTGGGAGTAACTACTGCAGCTGCGAACACTGCGAAAGGTAAGCTTTCGGTCGTGGTGAAAAAAACTTGGCTGAAAAAATCTGTTGTCGGTCCCTTGAAATTTCAAATGCAAGTTTTCTGAATATCTCACTGCAATGATATGAATGGCAGCTCAGGATAAAAGCTGTAATATAATGGCTTAAAAGAGCTCCAGGCCTAAGTTTAATTCTGCGATGCCTCAGAGAAGTAATGGCCCAGAATATTGTGCTTGTACCCCTAATGCATCTCTGCAAATGTAAAGGGGATTGTGGAAGTACATGCAACTAAGAGGCGTTCCTACCTGTTACTGAAACATTGTAATGCACTGTTTTTGTATTATTGGTGTGACAAGAAATGTGGCATGAGGCAGCGCAGACTGTTGACTAGTGTGGACACTTGTGGTATGTTAGTGTGTCTGGAAGTGCATCCTATTGTGTTGTGACAAGGCCAATTCTCAGCTAGTATGGTCATAGTTGTATGGTTGCCTGTGTATGATTTGCATGACAGTGGCAGCATGGTCATATAGCCTGTTTATCTGATTGCAACATGTTTATGTACTTGCATATGCATATATAACAATATGTCTGAGAGCTTGATGTTCTTTACAGGGTGGCAAATAAACTAATTCCGTAATGATCTTATTTTAGGAAAGGAGCAACACACCTTGAGGAGACTGGGCTGCCTACTACAAGCTGAGCAAATGTGGAGCGAGGGAGGCTACGTCTATCTTGCGCAGAATGACTTGCAGATATTCGCACGAAGCATCAATCTCTCGTGAGCCTCGTTGTGGCAAGCCCTCTTGAGTGTTTCATGTAACAACACTGTTGCTCGCAAGCATGAATGGTTGCCTTGCCAACTTGCAAATCACTATATGAAGAAAAGTTTTATGAAAGTTTACTTTTGCAAGGCAAGAATGTACAGTACTATACCAGTTCTTATGTATTATCGATGGCTCTTCCGCTTTGTGGTTCATCTGTTTCAGCTTAGCTGACAGAAATTTTATGCTTTGTCATGATTATATTGGTAATGGCAGAGAAGAGTGCTGTTAGTACCATAAGTTTTATATTTTGCCCGAAAAAGTTATGGTGACTCAAAGTCACATTTGTACAAATTCCACTGGGCTCCTGTGGCCCTTATTGTTGGCATGTTGGCAGAGTTTACATGGTTGATGCATCGTGCAATCAGTCTGCAGTCTGCTTTAGCAAAAAAGCCTCTAATTAGCACTACCAAGCTGTGCTGTTGCTTTAGATTCATCTAGCGTAGCTTCGGCCTGGGCAGACTGCATTGTGATGTGGTGTGTAAAAGCACAGATTCATTCTAAACTGTAGTGCATCTATCATGCAATTCTCATTGAACTTATTAAAAAAAGGCACACATATTTTGCAACAACTCGTTTGAACTTTATGTTTAAAAAATGACTTTTCTCTTCAAAAGGATTTCCAAGTACAGTCAACATTAGTAGATAAGCACGTGCTAAGAACAATCTACAGCTGAGCGATAATCGCATGCACTCCTGTTTTAAATGAGAGCTATGCTGTCGTGATTGGGTTCTGTTTTGCAACTTGAGTTTTAAGGGGTAGACTGGTACTGACATTTATTTGTGCTAGTTTGAATGATCTGACAAAGTGCACACTGCTATTTCCGACTTCTCATGCATGTATTCCCACTATCCCCTTTCATTTCCGGTCATTTACAATGTTGTCAAGGTAAAAGTGAGGGGTAACCGTAGTTGTGGGAGGTCTGTTATAGAAGAGATTTTGACTATGTATCTGTGTCTGAAGCCTTGGTGTTTCTGTAGTCGCCATACCGAAAATGGCCATCCCATATTCGCCCAGTGTTAAGGCTCAATATTGCTTACCTTGAAAGTTCCACTGGGACAACCACCAAACTAAATACTCTTTACACCTTGTTATTTATACATACTGTATTCACTCGATTCTACCGCGCCCTCAATTGTAACGCGCACCCGATTTCCAGGACGGAAAAAACAACAACAAAAAACCGTAAGACATGGATTACAACACACACCCATTTTTCTCGCTGGCTCGCACGATCACACCACTCGAAAAAATTACTCCTTTCGGGAGCATCTTCCATTTAAATATGAGGTACGGGCGAAGCTTGTGTCCATTTGACGTGTAACAGAGCATTGCCGTCACTGTAGTTTTACCGTGGACCGATGTCAGCACGCGAATTTGCTTTGCCTCCTTCTTCTCAAGGGTTGTGATGCCAGGCATGTCGAAGTAAAGAGGCGTCTGATCGGCATTCCCGATTTGCCCAAGCAGGTAGCCGTTGTTGCGCCGCAAGTTTAGAACGAACCTCTGAAAACTGTCAAGCTTTTCATCGTATTCCTCCGCAAAACTTTTCGCATATGCATGTTCCCCTTCGGAGGGAAAAGCTTTTCCTCTGCATAAAGTTAGTTAGCCAGCACCTGCTCGCTTTAAACTGGCTCCGCATTAGACCTTTTTCTAAGACTAATTGCATAGCCCGCACTTGGAGCAGTTCTGTCGTCACAGGCCGCCGTGCCGCTCGCTGCTCAAGCACATACTCGCCGAGCAGCTCTTTAATTTGCGGAAACCGACCCTGCTGTGGTCCACTGAAGCCTTTGCGTGAAGCTTTGCTGTCGACAATCTTCTGCTTTTGTTTCCGCTGGTCCTGCACGCACGTTTCGGGAACTCTGAACGACCGCGATGCGGCCCGATTTCCGTCCGTTTCTGCACACGCGATGACTTTTCTTTTAAAAGCGGCATCGTGGTGCACTCAAGTTTTTGGAGTCGGCCCTTCCACGCCGTTGATGCTAATGCACTACTAGATGACGAACTCGCTCAGCACACGTACGAAGTGCCGCACATGGGAAACACATAGGCAGAAATGGCCGACGCGCCATGCCGACGCTCGTAGGGGGCGGCCATTTTGGCAATGCCGATGGCAATAGATTGACCGTAATTTTTTTTTCGTAACGTGCATGCGATTTATAAACTCGCTTAACCGAAAAAAAGGTGCGCATTAGATTCGAGTAATTACAGTAACTGTTACTTATTTACTTATTTATTCTGTATACAGACAGGGTGTTTGAGGGAAGGAGAGTTCAATGTGTTATGCATCAACACATTTTACAACCACACATGACCACGTGGCAGGCTTCAAGGGACAAAGGGAGATAAAATTATATTTATTTTTATAAAGTCACTCAATATTGTACCACCATAATTTAAAATGTTTACTCAAATTGAATAAAATAAAAGAGCATATTTTTTCATTCACATTCACCAGGTTCAGGAGCAACAAGAATTGCTGCGATTTGGCAGTTAGAAAAATAATCTAGTTCTTCTAGTCAATTATTTTGTCCTGTAATATGTAGCACTCGAGCAAATTAGCGTGAATAAGAAATGAGGCATATACACTGTGAGATGAGCTGGCATCTGTGCTCATCAGCATGTAATGGGTTCATTACCTTCTTCCAGTAGACAAAAGCATATACGTATAACAAGCCCCTCTAAACCTTAAACTAGAATGAATGGGCGCTCTCATGTTAAGCATCACCCAATCTCTATATGAAAAATTCTGGGGACGGGTACGAGAAGGAGGCGAAAGGGGACGCGGTGCCTTTAGATTTGCTTCAGAGTACTATACCTTTGTCAAACGTTTCTAACCCGTGCTGCGTGCCAGTGGCATAAAATGCAACTTTGGTTTGAGGACGCTGGTCTCTCTCCTTAACGCACCTCAAACAACCTTTCAATTTGTTTGGTAACCTTTGCTCTGCTCGAAATAGAAATACTAAATGATACATGCACCACTTTGATCATCAGAAGATAGACCCTCGCTGTAATTTTAGTTATCAAAAGAAACAGCTTTGCTGTTTCTAATATATCCGACATATGCCGATTATTTAACTAATATGGAACAGCAGTGCATAAATATATATTTTGTACAACCTGTTAGAGTATCAGATTTTGCTCAGTAAATAGAAGTGATGTATCCAGTTTAAAAGGCAACCTTCTATATCTCCTAAATATATAGTGTGTCTATTAGTAGGATATATTATCTTTAAATTTCATCAAGTCCCATGGGATGTGTAGCATCAGCTCCTGATGTTTTAACGTGTTTTTGGTAAGAGCAAACGCTGTGCACTCATGTTTGAACAGCATGAAAAAGAAGTCTGGATGTATGCAGTGACTTCAAAAAGTCCTTGTTCTGAACAATACTATGATAATGAGCAATACATGTGTGAAAATGACACTTCAATCCTGTGACTACATTATGTGACAGGTGGTGAAAATGAATTTGTTGAGAGCATTATCACAATTTTAAATCATTTATTTCTTCCTAGTGTCTCGTCTGCCTCTGTGTTTGGCTTTCTAATATGTATTTTATTATACTATGTAGAAAAGATGGATGATAGAATCATCACCATCAGCCTGACTACGTCCACTGCAGGACAAAGGCCTCTCCCATGATCTGCCAGTCAACTCGGCCCTGTGCTTGCTGCTGCCAATTTATATCCGCAAACTTCTTAATCTCATCTGCCCACCTAACCTTTTGTCTCCCCTTAACCCGCTTGCTATCTCTAGGAATCCAGTTACCCTTAATGATCAGGGTTTATTCTGTCTACATGCCGGCCCATGTCCATTTCCTCTTCTTGATTTCAACTATGATATCCTTAACCCTGGTTTGTTCCCTAATCCACTCCGCTCTCTTCTTGTCTTTTAAGGTTACACCTACCATTTTCCTTTCAATTGCTCGGATTGTCGTCCTAAATTTAAGCTGAACCCTCTTTGTAAGTCTCCAGGTTTCTGCTCTGTAGCTAAGTACCGGCAAGATGCAGCTGTTATATACCTTCTGTTGGGGATGTATAAGACTGCGGACTCTGTGAAGGTTATGAAGGGTCTTTATTTTCTACGCAATCGTGAACAAAGGGCCCCAGGCCCATTTGAGACTACAAATGGTGTTCCCGAGCAGCCTGTCTCTCTGGCTGCTGGAGGTCGACTCCCATAGCTTGCATGATCCTTTCCCGCCTCCGATGCAATCACGTGACCCGGCCGTGGCCTTTCAGACACCAGCCACCGGGGCTGAAGGTAGAAAAACAATGACGCTGCGTTCGAAAGCAAAAGGTGCGTTGACAGACAAATACCTCTCATTTCTGGTAATCATCGGGAGGAAGAGTCGTGGTCTGTTCATGATCAGTTTAACGACCGTCGCGGCGTCTGCAGCTTGCGGGGTGCAAGGAAACGGCGTGAAGGAAACCACCGTTGCAACACCGATATATTTTGGACAGAGTCCGCGAACCCGCTGTCATGCAACACTTTCTCTTGAGGGATAGTGGCAATCTACCTGTGATGATTTGAGAGTGCTTGCCAAATGTGCTCCACCCCATTCTTATTCTTCTAGTTACTTCAGTCTCGTGGTTCGGCTCCGCGATTATTACCTGTCCTAAGTAGACATAGTCTTTTACAACTTCAAGTGAACTTATCTCGAAGCGCGGTTCTTTTCCGAGGTTTGTACATTACTTTCATTTTCTGTAGATTAGTTTTTAGACCTACTTTTTATCTCTCCTTGTCTAACTCCGTAATCATGAGTTGCAATTCATCCCCGGAGTTACTCAGCAATGCAATGTCATCGGCGAAGCGCAGGTTATCAAGGTACTCTCCATTAACTCTTATGTCTAACTGCTCCCATTCTAGGCCTCTGAAAACCTCCTGTAAACACGCAGTAAATAGCATTGGGCAGATTGCATCTCCGTGCCTTACACCCTTCTTGATTGGTATTCTGTTGCTTTCTTTATGAAGCACTATGGTAGCAGTTTTTCCCTTGTAGATTTCTTTCAGGATGTTTATATATGCTTTGTTGACGCCCTGATTCTGCAGTGTCTGCATGACTGCT